CACACACACATACACACACATACACACACGTGCACAGGGACATACGCTCAGATTTGATTATATTAATCCTGGCTCTCTTTAATACATAGAACACAGCTACAAAACAAAAAAAAGTCCGCTTTAATTAAAAATTTTTAAAAAAATGAAATCACTTAAAATGCATGCTGATCTTGATTTGTTTTTACTTGAAAATTAATAAAAACAATTTTATAAAGACCAATTAGGATAAATTGTAAAATATAAAAAATATTAATAATAGTTAATAATAGTTTATAAAAATAATTTTTCGGTAAAACATATATAAATTTTTTTTAACTTTACCCAGAAAATTAATTTCCTCCTAATTTTTTGTTTTTTTATTGTGTGCAACGCAACCTCTCTCTCTCTATCTATCTATCTATCTATCTTTTTCTTTTTCCCCAAATCTTTCTGTCTGTCTAACTCCCATACCCTCTCTTTCTCTCTCTCTCTTTCTCTCTATCTCCCTCCTCCTCTCTCTCTCTTCTTTTGCTTTGGTCTCGCTCACTATCTCTTTCTTACTTTGATCATATTTAAACTATTTTTCATATTCTAAATAATAAAAAAAAAGTGAATAAATAAATGAAAAAAATATTAAATATATTAAAATCTTCACTTTTTCTACTACAAAAACAACTTTAAAATAAAAATATATATATACAACATATACTACTATTACTACTACTTCTACTACTACTACTACTACTACTACTACTACTACTACTACTACAACCACATGATCATCAACCACTTTCTGACTATAAAAATATATATTCGTTCTGATGTGGCTGTTGTGTTAATTTGTCCACATTTTTCCACCCGAGCACTGCAAACAAATTTAACAACAACCGATAAATAAAAAATGAAATAAATAAACTAAAATATAAATATAAAAAATTGTAATAAAAATTTGAAAAAAAAAAACCAACTACTACTACTACAACTTCATATCAAACAACACACTATTTCTGTGACAAAAAAAAATACTCTTCTCACATAGATAAGAGTAATATTCCTTTATTGGTTACCTTGCATATTGCGCATGCAAAGACCCGGACAGGTTGGCTACGAATGCCCACCGCCGCCCTCATCGTCGACCTCTTCTAACGCTGGCGATAAAAAGCAACAGATACAAAATGTTGAGCTTAAGGAAAGGTAAACATAATTTATACGAATATCTACTGTAGGTATCGTTGCACAAAAGATAATCAATCATTTGAATTGTTAACCAGTCTTATTCACTTTTTCTTTGTTGTTGTATTTCTTTGAATAAAAGACTTTTTTTCTCTTTTTGTTTATTTTGTTGTACAACGTCGACAGATCATCGAAATCTTTGTTAGCCAATGTCTTGGATATCGATGATGATTTCCGTTGCAATCATCGTTGCGCCAGTGCCACACTACCACATCAACCCACGTATTATCGCACCATGTATAGGTAAGTAAACGCTGTCGTAAACGTGTCCGTCTACAATACTTCGCCATTGTGTCAGCTACTCTCACTTACTGCCTTTTCATAACCAAGAGATTCACACGTTCTTGAAAAAGGTGACCAGTCGATACAATAAATTTCCAGTTCATCTTTCATATGATTTAAATATTCATTAAAGCAAAATTTCTTACATTCTTTATATTTTATATCGTTTGACTTTGATTATGCGGTGACTCGAAGCTTCGACCATCCTTTTTAATATGTATTGATTTTAACGGAATTCTTCAGTTCCCGTCAATAATTTCGATTTGCGATACCTACAGTTTCTATATCAAAAGCCATTCAACCCATAATTAAGTTTGTAAAGATTTTTAAAAAAAAAAGTCTATCTAGTCGTAGCTGATTGCAAAATATGTCACAGCGTCGATGTCAATATTCATTTCATTCCTTGCATTTTTGAAATGTGTTGACTTCGAAAAATTACGAAGCGCATGCGTCAAATCGAGTTTTATCGCACACTGTTTTCCCTTGTTTATTTAATGAGATGATTTCGATCACTTTAAATAACACTAGTACAGGTAACTGTAGTAATTACCCGTAACTGTAAGAACAAGCACTCCAAAAAATTAGGATAATTTGTAAACGTTTTTGAAGTGCGCAGTTTTCAATCATACACTGGTGCACTTTACGGTTAAGAAAAACGACGAATTTAATCATCCGTGGAAATAACTTCAAAGACCGTCAGCAAAAATGTATCGGCCGTGTAAAATGTTTTGTGTTAATTGAACGTCAGTTTAGCTGAGTTCAAGCACTCAGCCCGACCTCGGATAGCGAAGCCAAAGAAAATATTAAAAGGGTATCTACTTGCGGACGAAGTTTTTGTAGCCTAACTAATTACACAATAAAAATTTGGCGGAGTTGGTTTCAGAAATGAATTTTCATGCATTAGAAAATATCAAGCATATAGCCAAACACTGTCAGATTTTTTAAAAACTCTTTAAAAAAAATTGTTCTTAAATATTTCAAGCATTTTCTTAATCTTCGCAGAACAACGGAAGATTTTATTACATCGTCTGTCTGATCTGCAATAGGCTTTGAAGAGTGCACGGTCTATAACGAATTAATCAACATAGAAATGTAAATATTATAGTTTCACATGATCGCAGAAATCAGGAAAACGATCCGAAGATTGTGAATGTCTATCATTATAAATATATAAGATTAAAAACTTTATGAAAGCTTCATTGGACATTAGTTCCCAACTAGAAAACGAAATAAAATTATACCAAATAGACACTAATTGAATGGAGTTAGCATTGCGTGCAGTATAAGGTATAAGAATACAGACTACTTGTAAAGTTTCTCGTTTGAACTATTCGAACCAGGTACAGGGGTACAGGGACGTTTAGCACTTGCCCAAGTAATAGGTAACACTTATAAAAATTGTTATTAAAGGCGAACGGAATACTGCTACTCCATCAACTCAAATCAAAATCAAAATCGTTAATTTTTAACGAATATTGATTTTTCTTTATGAAAAACTGCTGCTTAGTCGCAACAAATCTTGGTCACCTGCATTACTTTCGACTTGTTTGTGTGCTACATATCAAGCAGTACCTGTAAACATACAATATTTCTATGCGTTATTGTCGGCATTGACATGACTTATAGACGGGATTGGTTTCCGTTTACAATTGTTACAACTCTTCCTCCTTCCTGGCGTTTGACGAAATAAATAAAGAAAAGAAAATGCACGAATTGCAAATAAATATGAATGAAGTTTCAACAGATAGCACTAAATCCCTAAATTTAATTTAATTACGAGGCTTCTTTATGTATGTACTAATGAAAACGAAAGCGGTGTTAATTTTCTTGCTTCATTTGGAACACATATTCGAGATGAACATAAAAAGATAATGCGAACAGCGAAAATTTGATATGTATATTCTTTTATTCTTATACTGTTATTTGAGAGTGACATAGTATTTATTAAAACTTTAAAAAATAAAAGCTTCAGCCTCAGACGTTTGTCATTTTTCCGAAGCTTATTCAGGTGTCTTGACTTAATGAAGAATTTCTTCCTTCTACCCCTAACTCCTCCTACTTTATGGATGCACGCCTTCAACTGTTCTCAACTGTCACACACAATGTCATTTGGAAATAACCCCATCGCTTCCTGCATTAAAGAGAGCTTGAAGTCCCATCACGGTTTCAAACTTAAATAATCTTGACACGCTCCGCACTTTGTATTCTGCAACGAAAGCAAATTCGTTTTTGCATTTGGAACGCACGACCACGCTTGTCTATGACAGGCCAGGTCTCGAGCCATTCTGATAAAAAGCTTGTGTGGATTAATTCATAAGACCGCCGTACTCCAGGTAGCCATTTTTCCCTTTTCCAAAATTTTGCACATATACGGTGCCGTTGACTTGAAAATTATGTGCATATTTTTTTAAAATTAGTTATTTCAAGTTTTGCTCGCTCCTTCAAGCAGCTGAGACCATAGTGTTCTAGCAGGTCGCCCACGAAGTTTATATATTCCGGAAAAGAAAACCGATTCCAGCTTTAACCTCGAAGTAAAAAAGCGTCTTCTTCCTTTAGCTTATAGCTCCATAATTCACAAACCGCTGCTACTCGTATTTGTCAATCAATATGAGAGTATGCGCGTCAGCATAATCACATAATAAGAACATGAGAAATAACAATTCAACGTACAACAGGGTGAATATATATAACAAAGACCTTATTTGGGAAGTCGTCAAGTGGAAAAGTGCCATGCCATTTCAATGACATTCGTCCTTGGGCCAAAAAGCAACGAATGCAAGACCGACGGACGAACGACGAAACAGACATACTTAAATGAAATCAGAAAGTGTGGATGAATCGATCAGTATAATAGGGGACGGGCCTGTTGCAAGTTTTTTTAGGGTTTTGCCTACATCCAAATACGGTGATGTGTCCGGGGAGGGGATTCTAAATATTATATGCCTCAATGCTTCAAAAGCTAATCCGTGAGTTGGTAATATCAAACGAAAGTAACATCAATTCAAGAAACGTTCAAGCGAATGCGTACAACAATTATGTTTGCAGACAAGGTGATGATGGTAGTGTGGGTCCGGTGGGTCCGGTCGGTGATACTCGTATGCACGAAGCTATTTCTCATACCTGTCTAAGTTCATCGGCAGAATATGAATTGGCTTTAATACTCAAAGAGTTGAGATGGATAACCGATCAGGTGAGTAAGAACAGTAAGCAAAAATGACAGCAAAATAAACGTTACAAGTAAGTGATACGACTGATGATTATGAAAAAAAAAGAGAGAAAATCATTTCAAATTAATTTATAAATTTATCAATATGTATTTAAGTGTACATTTTTCTTTTTAAAGTTGAAAAAAGAAGACGAAACCGGTGATATAACCAGAGATTGGAAATTTGCTGCCATGGTAGTGGATCGTTTGTGCCTTATCGTTTTTACGCTATTTACAATTATTGCGACATTGGCGGTTTTATTCTCGGCACCACATTTCATTGTACGATATCGAGTTTTTTTAAAGTCATTTTTCAAAGTCTTTTTCAAAGAAATTTTTCTTATTTCTATTTTATTAATTGGGAAAAGAAAATGAAATGCCAAACCAAATACATATTTAAAAGCGAAATATTTTTTCTTACAGTTCCCGTAACTTTATGGCTTTTGGTTTCAATTATTTTATTGGTCGGATGGTAACTTCGTTGAGACGTACTTTCAATTCCGCAAATGCCTCCAATCAATTGGCTTACGTATAAATGCAACTATAATAATAATAATAATAACCACAACAACAACAGCAACAAAAACAAAGACAACAATATGAACTACTTCTTAGAAAAAGAAATGAAAATTTCAACAACAATAACAACAACAACAACAACAGCAATAAAAGTTTGTTTTAAGTCATGTGCCTGGTCAACGAAATTTAAATAACTATTCAACAACAACAACAACAACAATAAATGCAATAATTAATTGTAAAATACATTTAAACTCCAAACAAGTTCATAATATTTAAAGTTAAGGAAAACATAATAACTTTTGTTGCTTTTTTTTCAAATTGCGAAACGAAAACACTAGAAAGAATTTATGATCGGCCTAAGCCGAATCTTCTCATACTCACCACCAAATATATATATCAAATTTTATAAAATGTCTCCCATAATCAAATACTTTAGAGCGATCTAATTGACGAAAAAAAAACTGATAAATGATAAAAAACTTATATTCACTTTAGGACGAGCTCTGCCTGCACACTCCTTATGGCACGCAGATAAATGAATGATAACCTGATATATAATGCATTAAAAGGGATTAGATAAGAAATATATTATTGTCAAGTTCTTGATTACCGTTTCGGCGTCCATTAACACGCAAATACGCAACGACACGTACATTTAAGTACAAGCCGACACACAAAAATTTTGAAATTCTCAAATGTTTATTCAAATTGGAAACACTTTATAAACTGTCTAATGAATTTTTGTCGAGATCAATGACTGAATATAAGGATTAGCATATATTTTCGAATGGATTATCGGTCATGTTATATAATATGTTAATATACAAAGAACATAATGCGATCTGGAGTCAGAGCAGGTCAAAAAGCGACGCAGACAAATGTTTACAAAACTTATGCTTTTTGGATCGAACCTCTTTTCGGGCTGAAATTTCAAATAATCTTGATAAATATTTTTTGCAAGTTTTACGGTTTTATGGAATATCAGTTAGAGCCAGCCGGTCATTGTCAATGTAGATGTATCGAAACGAGTCCGTTCAGGCTGATATCCAAATTTGATCCCAGGAGAACTGTAAAATTTCAACTTTAATAAACAGACATTTTGAAATGTTACACTGATCACTTCTACCGACTCAGTTCAATGAATCTTTGACGTCTACTTTCAGAGATCGCGAAGGAAAAGGCAAAAAATATAGATGTGATGCGCATAAAAACACTTCCAAAATAGACACTAAGCAAATAAGCAAAATAAATACGCCTAGCGGCGAATAATTGATATCCAATTCAAATACCTTGATTTCTAATGACAGCGGCGCTTACCAAATCATCCCAGTTTGACATCCCGGCTTTTTCAGATAAATGCTAATAAATATTTTTAACAAATTTTACATCGATATCGACCGTCGATTGTACATTACTCACTCTTTTTCCTTATTGACCTTGTGAGCGTAGGTAAATAGTTTTTACACTTGCAAACTTGTTTTTTGGTCATCAAATTTGGGTGAATATGGGTTTGTCAAAATTTAGGCGTTAGCAAAGAACTAAATGAGGGACACAGACAGAGTGGGGCATAAGAACTACCATCTGGATGGGCTGGTAGACGAATCTCAAGCATGTTCGAATTTTTTCAATCGTACATACGCTTTACTAGGTCGTGTCTTTAATGCAATGCCAAATACCGAGGCACCTTAGTTGTAGCTGGTGAGTAAAAAATTTGAAAAAAAAATAAATGGACAAATTTTTACAATCTCTCTTGATAACCAACAACATTTGATTTGAAACTTGGCATAAAACTTTATTAAGATTGCTTAGGCTTTTCGACGCAGCAGTATATGCAATTTTCTTAAAGCCATACTTAAAAGAAAGGCAAAAAACAACGACTTTGGACACATACCGAAGACGATGCGTATCCAATTTTTCAAAATTTTATCTCTATGTGGACAGCAACAATTCGAATGCCAAACTGAACGAAATAACTTCGGTGTTCTGATATGATATTTTCAAGAATTCAACAGCAGAACACACAGACAAGCAGAGAGACAGACGTAACTGAATCAATTCAATATTTAAAACGGTTCACATCTCAGCCCTTTCTCCCGCTCACGATGAATATCGGCGTTATGGTGTTGAGTAAATAAATAAACATTTATCAAAAATAAAAATAAATAAAAAAATAAGAACAAAAACGTGCAAAAATTCTTTCGCTGTGATAGAATCAATTTTCAGTAAACCACTACACGCAAGATACAAATTGTACAAATTAAGAAAATGCAAAAAAAAGCAACAAACAGCAAAAACAACTGCTACGTAATGAAGAGCAACTTAGCAACAACAAAAAACAAAACACAACCTTAAAGAGACATAAACAGCAGAGTTTTAAATACTAGAAAAAGAAAAAAAAAAAAAATCCATAAAACAAATTTTGTTAAAATTTAACGAGGTAAACATAACATACATACAAAAACTATCGACAGACACATACAGTATAAAGTTAACTATTTTTTAACAAAAAAAAGAAAAGAACTAAACAAAAGGAAATAAACCAAAAAAATTAAAATCAATTCTATAGTAAAACGAATGCAGACGCAGACATACAAATATATGTCGTAAGCAAAAAAATTATAAAAGTTTAGAATATATTGTACTTAACAAGCAGAAGATTGATAATAAACGAACCGATTGTGTATAGTTAAATATGAGTTAGACTAAAATTATTAACTAATAATAATAATAATAATAATAATAATAATAATGAAAATAATAGGAAATTACTTATGCCCCCTGTCACTCCCCAACATATTCAATGAGTACATGCTCCTGCTAAGTAGTTGTCAACTAAAATTAAACAAAAACAGTAAAAAGTTAACAATATATTAACATACATTAGTTGTAATTCGTTTATTTAAATATATTTAGTTTTAAATTAAAAAACAAAAAAAAAAAATATACGAACGGCATAGCAAAAGCGCTCAAAAAGAAAACCAAAAAAAAAGAAGATACCTATAAGCAAAGATATTTGTAATGCATATACATATACATATACATATACACATACATATACATATACATATATTGATTAGGCTTAACATTAAATGATTTATGTCACATTGACATGCGCTTTTTTTACCATAACAATTCCAATAAACATGTATAAAAAGAGTATTAATATTTAAAAAAGCAAAATAAAAAAAAAAGGAAGAAGAACACAAAAAAATATTTATTAAATTCGGCTTAGCTTAATGCGTAGTTTTAATCGCCACTTGAATATCATAAAGATTTGTAAATATTATCGTATTACTATTACTACAACCACACGCATATATATATATATATATATTATTATAGAAATTCAAATAGTGTATCAAATCAATATTTATATACTAAGCTTTTAATAGTTCTTTTTAAATATTTCTATATGACGATAGTCAGCCATTTAAAAGAAAAAGAAAACGAAAACTAATCTCGAACATGCTAATGCTTACTCACTTATTACTTACTAAACATCAATAGTTACGCTTTCCTATAGAGTTTTTACATTACACCAGCAACAACAACAACAACAACAACAAAAACAACAAATCTCGTTTTGTCAAAACTAATATAATCAACACGCATGTATCGACATATATTATCTATACTTAATATTAAAGTAAAAATAAAAAAAAGCTAAAAAGGTCTTCCTTAACTTTAAAAACAGAAATAAAATAATTGAATAAATTTAAAAAAATTTATTAAAACACAGAAAAGAAAAACAACAATAATAATTAAGAGCTGTAAAGCTGTATTCATCTTGACCCAAATCTTGAATACACATCCAACCATCCATCCATCCATCCATCCATCCATCCATCCAACCAACCATTCAAATATCAATAAACGAGAGTTGGACTCACTGTATAGCTGAGGCATAGATGAGGCAAGAGAGCGGGCGATTTAAATCATTTTTACTATTTATTGATTGGAAAACCCAATTGAGCTATTCGACTTTACTTTTCTTGAAGTGATGTATGTCGGGCGCCTTTGCTTGAATTTTTAAACTTAATTATTGAGTTACTAAGTTATGAATACAAGCATTAAATTTTAGCGTTCTATCCCGGCTATTCCGATTTAAATTGATACATGACTTTTCGCTGATTAAAAACGTATATATGAGGATCTCGATAATATCGCAAAGAAGTTGCAGGATACCCTTCAGTCCAGTCTCAGAACATCTAAGTGCTTTCACTTTCTTCTCTTTTAATGACTTTCGTAAGCTTTGGTGAAACGAAATGCATCTCCGTTTATGGACCAATCGAAACGGTTCAAATTTCAAGTATCTTTTTTCCTTATTCGCACTCTCGAAATTGTTTATCAAAAATAATACATATATTAATCAGAGTCGTTAAAAGATTTTCAATCATATTTAGTCAAATTTGTCTATTCGTCTATCCATCGATCTAAGTGTGTGCTGGTAAAATTATCAGGGGCAAAAACGGTTTATATGGAAATTTTTGATCAACCCGGAGAAGTGATTTACGATAAATAATATAACTCCGGCAATTGTACGAATAATGAAATCATATCAAATTAAAATCATCTCGGAAAGAATTGAAACTCGTCTCCGGATTCACGGAAGAACACATTTATCTAAGAAACACAGGCAGCTAACTAAACTAAATTCAAATTCTGTAAAAGATCTTACAAAAATTGAAAATGAAAAACCCTAGGGTCAATGAATTGTGAAACGAGTCGCGGAAGCCTTTTGTATTTTAGAAAAATTATTTTATTCTAAAGCGAAAAACTTGAACACCAATTAAAAAGGTTTCGTGAATATATAACACACACGCAACTCTTGCAACAACTCAAATTTACCCGTAGACACAGAAATCAAAAATTCAAATTTCTAGCAAACTCGAAATTTCTTACGTTAACCTGGAGGAATGCAGGAATGACATCATTATATCAGAAATCTATAAAAATTTCTTATCACTTTACTTAAATGTACACAAATAATTTGTAAGTAAAACAATTAACATGCGACACATTCGACACATTCGGAATTTCCCAGAATCGCGTAAGCTTGAAAATTGTGCCATTGATGGCGCCCCGACGCAGCGACAAACTTCATTTTTAATAGCCGAATTCGTTCGCTAGCTATGCTAAACATTATACTACGAGTTGTAACGTCGCCGTTATTGACTCTTATAGCCTGATCCTCTCACCTTTAAAAACATATAGCCTAGTGATGCCGACCTCTCTCTCTCTCTCTCTCTCTCTCTCTCTCTCTCTCTCTCTCTCTCTCTCTCTTTCTTTCTTTCTTTCTTTCTTTCTTTCTCTCTCACTCACTCACTCACTCCTTCTTTCTCATTCTCTCTCACTTTCTCTCACTCACTCACTCACTCGCTCGCATTCGTGCATATGGGAACTTTAGGAATCGTGGACGGTGATTCGAACTCTTTGCACTTATCAGAGCAAATATGATATATCTGGCACAAAGTTGTTGCTGTAGTTTTATAATTTGAATCAGATCAGAGAAAGCAGAAGACCGCTGAATGCATATAAGAATCTGGCTGCACGAGAACTAAATGAATATAATATGCTCCTAAGAAAAGATCCTACGTATTGGCGTGAGTTCGATAAATCGTTCTTTGAATTCCAAAATATTACTCATACTTACCATGTCAACATAAAATTATATGGATGCATCATTATTATTGGAGAGAATAGAGGATGTCCATGAAGTCCCGAATAATAAAAATAAATTTATGCCAAATTTTATATCAAATTGAACTATAAATCCATGAAAGCACTTGTCAAGTAATAAACAAAAATATATATATATATATATATTAAAATACGAAAATAGAGAAAACCCTTATGAATGTAAGGAAAAAAAATAAAACTGAAAATTTCGTAAACGAAAAGGGTAATTTTTTGAATTTTTTTCCCCAATTTCTATAAAATGTTTTTCCTCTCTTCTTTTTGTAATGTTTATCCTTTTTAATTTTTGTTTTTCTTTTCTTTATTTTTTTTTTAGTTTCTTTTTTTATAAAAATGCCAAATTTGTAAAAACTGTGGTTTCACTTATAAATCTATAAAAAAAGAGAAAAACTAAGCGAAAAATTCCATCAAAAGAAATAAAGAAAATCTCAAGTCAAACCTTATAATCAACTAACAGACAGACAGACAATCGATAAAGTTTGAAAAACAAAAAAGAAAAACAAAAGAAAAATTAATAACAGCAGCAGTGGCAGCAGCAGCAGCATCAGCATCGATAACAAGAACAGTTTAATAAATTAAACACTTGAGCATGAAGAAAAATATCATTTTGACAATAGTTTTATGATTTTTAGATAATTTTAACTTATATTAATGAATAATAAATACATGAATTAAGAAAATAATGAAACGATATGTTTGCGAAAATCAAATACAAAAAGTAAGCAAACAAATACAACAACAAACAAACAACAACAGCCAAACAAATGTACGAATTTAATAAATATTTTACTGAAATAGTTTAGTTTAGTTTATTTAAAGAAAATCTCTCTCTTTGCAAGAAATTCAACCCAAAATAAACCTCAACGTAGTTCGGTTTCTTATTCAAATTCTATTTAATAAAAAAAAAATATATATATATAAAAAAAAATAGAGTAAAATAATATACAAAAAAAAAATTATAATAAATAAAAAATAAAATAACAAAAACGCATTGCATTTTGTGCACCGTCAGTCGTTAACTATCCGCCACCAAATCGAAAAAAAAAAATTTCCCTTCACCAAACGTAACTAACTGTTTGCACATGATTGCTTAAGACAACAACGAGACTATCGTTCATCCACATAAGCTGAAATTTCTTTTCATCATTGTAAGTTACAATTCTCTGCCATTTTTTGGCAGCACAATAATCCCATCGTCCTAAAAGTTCCGTCTTCGACATTTTTTTACAGAGCCATTTTCAAAGTAATTCACTTTCATTAACGGACTTCGGCGGAGAAAAAAAAATAATTGAATAATGACAGATCTGCGGCGTTGAAAACACCTGTGGCCTGGCTTTAATGGGCGTCAGATGCAAAGTGTCTTTTATTATAAAAACTTCCAATCGCTCCGAAAGCCACTAATCTTATTTCTTCTTAAAAACACAATTTTCAATTTTGGTCAATACACATTATCAAATGCTTGGGAAGAGATGTAAAGGTAGACGAAAAATTCAAAATTCAATTGTATGCAGATCACATGCCACGCGAACTAATTGTATGCACATGTCGCCCGATGCAATGGCCAAGAAATGTTAAACTTTGAAATTGAATTTTAATTAAGCATTCATTTGAACATATCTTTTTGTTCACTATAAATAACACTAATTTCTTGCATTAACACTAATGGCGAGCTTCAAATTTGACTCAATGTCACGGTGTAATAATATCTTACGTCTCATCCCAGCCTGCGTTTCTGCATTCATTTCAAATGCAGAATTGGCACTCGGATGTACATTCTGTTCTCTTAATTTGAGGACTTTTAGACATTTCTGATGTGCCGAATCTCTATATATGTAGACATTGATGGCGTAGTTTTAAGGGGAATTAGTAGATAACCACACCGTCTGCGGTAGCGGATATAAAAATTGATCATAAATGCAGCACAAATACTCATTACCATATACTGTAAACAAACAAAAAAACACATACGTACGCCTCCCCTTTCCCTTCCTCTTCCATATGTACACATACACGAACACTTATTCAAAATGTTACCACTAAGCATATTACATATACTTATGTAACTTTTAATAAATAAACTTATACGCGCTTAACTATTCTGCAAAGTGCACACAAATAATATAAGAAAAAAATAAAACGATAAAAATGAAATATTTATTAAAAAAAACGTAGGATTTTTTTTTTGTGATAAATTAAAAACCCATAGGAAATAGTTTACACAAAAAACTCATTATAAAAACAACA